GATTGCTGGAGCACGAAGGCGAGACCCAATGATGATAGCGAAGAGATTGAGAGGTCCGGAGTAGATCTGGAGGAGCGAGAGATCTGGAGAACATACAGACATGCATCAATCGCCGGCCACTACGGCGAGATCATCTTCATCGTTGCCTATTTCCCTCCCTCTCTCGGATCCTCTCCAGCCCCGTCTTCATCGTTGCCGGTTTGAGTGTGTGCTATCTGGGTTTTCTTTCCAGCATCACGATCTAGGGTTTTCTTGATCTGGATTTACCTTCCCGCGTTCTCGATTTGGATATCGGTTCTGATTTTTCTTGGGTCACAATCGGGTATCAGCTGGAGGAGTTGAAGAGACGGCCTCGGTTGCGGAGGAGGAGAGGGAAGCTTGAATCTCTGCTTGATTCTCCCTCCTTCTTCCCCTTTTTGCCTTTTAATTTGTTTTTTGTTAGTTTATTCATTTTTTATAAAAAAATAAAAATAAATAAAAAATAAAATTCCACGTCAGATGCCACATCAGCGCTGACTATACTTTCTGTTAAAAACTAACGGTCAACGCCGGTCAACTCTAACAGAATAACAGTTTATGACACAAATGTCATATCGAATACTTTAAGACATAAATGACACAAAGTTAATAGTTTGGGTTTCCCAATGGTATTTGCCCTAAACTAAAATCTGAGATAAAATATTCTGAAATAATTATGTCAACAAGCTGAGATATAAGCATTTTAAGTATTGTATAAAAGAAATTCATTCTAAACAATATAAGTATAATAACAATCTCAAAATAAAAATCACGACTTCCAAATCAACTCTAAAATAATCCTAGCTGGCTGCATATATCAAAGTGTATTAGAGGAATCCATTTGCTATCATAGGGAGGCCATAATAATAAGTCATATAGTAACAGGAAATATGACATTAATCTAATTGATATACCATATGACATTAATCTTATTGATTTAAGGTGCGTACGTATACTACCATATAATGTATTAGTTTAGAGTATCTATGGTGATCCATAGGATGTGATCTGTCTCCTATACTATACTATACTATGTCATACTTGTAATTAATTAGGACATCCAATAGTTGTTACCAAGTTGTCCAACTCGATTTTGATGAATACATTTCTTCTTTGGGTTGTGGGTCGGGTCAGATTCTCAAACAAAAACATGATATCAATACCTTAAACTTTTTACCATGGTCATTATATTACTAATATCATGTGAGCATTAGGAAATCTCAAATATCAGGGTTAGTGGCATAGTGGTGAACTGGTGATACATGTGAGCATTATTATACTCAACATGACATTTGAGTTTTGGGCGGCCGACAATCATCTAACAAGCATTACAAATCACATAAAAAAAAACACAAAAAACATAACCACAATCTCATTATATATTGACCCACTATTCCAAACATGAACCATAGTTTACTAATTAGAAAACAAAACATGTCTAATCAAATTAGAAAAACATTAGAAATCATGATGACAAATATTACAAAATGAACATTGTAATGTTCACTAGTGTCGCTAATCATCACAAAGTACTAATGTTTGGTGATCCGAAAGACAAACATTACATCTATCTATATATATATATATATCTGTATCTATCTATACTATATATTATGACAATTCAAAAGCAATCTCTTGTCACATAAGCGCTTGGATGATCCACAATTAGCAAAGTTGGACAACTTTTTTACAAACAAAAAAATTAGTTATTAATATAATTATGGAGCTACTTATTCTTTTATCCAATTATTCTTTTTCATTTATTCTTTTTTCTTTAATAATAAGTTACATGTTGATAAACTTAACCAAACACACATAAATAATAAAATTTTTTATCAAGTAAAAAAAATTTAAATAAGAAAATAGAAAGTGGCGTTTATCACATTTTGAAGTAAATTTTCTACTAATTTTTACTAAAGTTGATGATAAGTTACATTTTGATGAAAAAATTAAGCAAACATACACATAAACAATAATTTTTTATCAATTAAAAAATATATATGAAAAGAGAGACAATAAACATTTGACATTCAATTACCTTTGAAAAATAAACTATATTACTTTATATTTTGTTGCAATGAAACAAATCTTATGCGTAAAGTATATGTCTATAAAATAAAACAAGTATTATTTATCAAAATGTGAGAGTATAATCTTGATCGAGTAGTTATATTTATTTAAAAAAGTCTTATTCATTCAGATCATGTTCTAACTTAAATTCATCAAATGAAGAGGAATCGTCTGTGCAATAATTTTATATTGTATCCAAAGTTCACATTAATAATATTTGCTCTATATCATGTTGATTGAACAAGCTCTATTGAGGTCATAAGTCGTATGATAAAAAAATTTCTTTCAGACTGGAGTTATCGTCGACGATTATAAATCAAAATTTTCAAAGTGACTTAAGTATGATTATTGACGAACTTTGACTTCATACCCTAGGATGAGACACAAGATTCCTTAAAAAATAACATATGTGAAGGTTATTGAAATCTTTGTTGAGAATCTACGATAAACATCACGTTTCATCAACTACTAACCTAGGCATTTACCAAATAAAGGCTAGAAATTTTTAGTAAGATAGTCAATTAGGATGAACATATTTATCCAACAATCAAGTATCTTTATCCAATAATATAAACTCTCAAAATTGGTTGCCAGTTCGTACAAACTCGAGAAAATGAATCGATATATTGTTGTATAAGATAATAAGTTAATGCAAATAATCAAATGAATCCACCGATATTCTTCAAATGATAAGACATTTTGAATGCACTTGAAATATATGTGTATTCTAGACACTCTTTATCAATTATTAATATATAAGTGATAAAATATTTGAAAATTACACATTCAACGACCATGTTAAGACCAAAATCCTCGATAGTGTGTGTGAGTATCTTACATTGAGATTCTAAGCCAACATATAAACAATGACCACGGGTTGAGGTTTAGTCTAAATTTCAAGAATTAACAATTGATACATATGGTATAATATACTAAATTTAAGTGTCTTGATAAAAAAAACTAACACCAAAATGGAAATGAGTCGAGATTAGAGAACTTAATCATCATGAGGGCTACGGTGTATGTCAAGTTTCAATATGGATGAATAAATTGATCCAATATTGAAGTATCTTTACAAAGAATTTCTCACTAAAAAGTCCTAATCTTTACAACATTGGTCGAGAGTTCGTCCAAACTCAAGGATCATGAACGTGTATTGGATTTCCAAAGGACCTAAAATCCCAATCCTTTTCGGGGGCTAAATATCTCTGATCACAGCCATAGGTGCCAAAGAAGAATGAAAAGAAGCACAAAAATAGCAAAAAGCGGGATCTCTATCAAGGGGGTGGGGGATAGGCAAGTAGCACTCTTAATATGAGTATTAGGCGAGATAAGATAGGTCTGACAAAGTATATACATGCACACACATATATACACATACACATGCACACACATTTTGAGTCTACTATATACACATACACATGCACACACATATATACATATATATAATATACTCAAGATACGATAGAAGATAGGTATAAAAAAGTATGTGCATAAATTAGAGGTTAGTGAATTAGGGACTGGAGTTCACCAGGCTAGGGTATAGTATCATGCCCCAAAAAAATCCAGTTAATTCGGGGTCTAAATAGTAAATCTCAATGGTCGTATGGTAGTATGAACGCAAGAGTATAGCGTACTCCTGCCGCACATTAGCTTGAACAATATATAGATGTGTGTGTGTGGTTCAGGTTGGCGTAGGCTAAATATTAGTGTTTTTTTGACAAATTTTGACATAAGGTCTAAATGGGACGTGACAGCGACATAATTTACAATTAAAAAACCAAAGCATCACAAGTGAGTGTGCTAAATATTGGAAATTTTCAATATAGATATACTACAAACTCCGTATGAATAAAAAACACAAAATAATTAGAAGATCCAAAATGATTTAAACATATAAATAAGTTAATAAATATAAATTATAAATAAATCTCCTCGGCCAACGGGCCGGGTAAAAAGCTAGTATAGATATAGACAAAAATTATAAAATTATTTAGAGAAACATTATAAATAAGACCATAATGTTCACTTAGAAAAATATTACCAAGAAAGGGCTTTGTCGCCATATGTCATTTCTTTTTATACGTGGAGAACCCGTCTTGCGACGGTAAACCCCGACCCTCGTAGCAGTCTCTCTCTTTCTATTGTTGAATCTAGTTTGGGTGGGAAATAATTGGGAGGAAAAGTTATTTTAAGTTTGGTAACAGAAAGGAGAAGTGATTTGTGAGGACAAATATTATTATTATTATTATTATTATTATTATTATTATTATTATTATACTGAGTTAATATAGTTAAAATCGCATTGTTTTACGAATCAGGTGTTCTATTACATAAAAATGGGGTTGCTAACCTTGCTAGTTAGGAGAAGTCAAAATAACACAAGCAAATACAGTACCTCAGCTACTATACTTTTAAAATCTATAACTAAAAAATACAGTATCTATAAACCTCCTCAGTAAGTCTAATATTTCCAAGAGCCAACTCCAGAATCTACAGGTTTCAGCAAATAATTTTTTTTATAACTGGACTGTATTCAATAATTAAGCAAGTTCAGTGGTTATAGAGCCATCAACTAAAAGTTGAAGTATCAGAAAAATTGGGGGACGAGAAAACAAAAATTTTCTTTTCTCTAGACGACATCGCACCCTTGCCATAGCATGGACACTCTCATTTCCTTTCCGGCCCCAAAACCTCCATCACACATTTCCTTCATCGCCAGCTCCTGGATTTCGTCACAGATCCCTTACACCTCCCAAATCGTAGCCTCTTTCCGATCAATTTTCTGGATCACCGATTTGCAATCCGTCTCAGCCAAAAGTAGGGCTAACTCTTCCTCCATTTCAAACTGACCATTTTGACTGTGTCCGATGATTTGCAGCCATCTAGAATTTCCCTTCTTCGTCGCGAATGACAAGGCCATACCCAGGTAATTCTGTTCTCTCGCAACTATTTTCCATTCCTCTAGCTTCGAATTGTTACACATAAGGTTGTTTCTCTTCTTCCATAGAAACCACATGGTAATAAGAACTGCAGCCAATTCATCTTTGTATGTTCCTTCAATTAGGTTACATAGCCAGTCTTCATAGTTCTTGCCCACCCCCATCGTGAAGTACTTTTCCATATTACTAGGTCTCCACACTCGGCTTGCCTAGTCACAATCACGTATAATGTGTTCTTGGGTCTCCATCAAACCACCAAATGGGCATTCATCATATGCATCCGGGATCTTTCTGCTTAGGTTAGCCCCCGTAGTTAGAATGTTGCTTCCCCATCGCCATACGAAAATTCGAGCCTTTTGGGGTAGTTGGAGCATCCATAGATGTTTTCAATCTATAGGGACATAGTTTTCCTCCTAGTTAAGCGCTTGCTTTTTTCATCATTCCTTGTAACCTGAATGAACAAAATATTTTCCTCACTTATCTCTGCCCCAAATTCTTATGTCCTGCCTCGGATGAAAAGGAATTGGGATTTGTTTGATCTGGTCTCAATCCTCTAGTTGGAAATTGACTTGGAATAGGTTGCTTTTCCATGATCTGGTGTCCGGATCAATTAGTCTTGATATCTTTTCAGTGATTCCAGTCCCGACACTTGTGTTTGTATTCGATAATCAACAGCTGTTGGGATCCAGCGATCCCACCAGATTTTCACACTCTCTCCATCCCCTATTCTCGACATTGTACCTTCTCTGACAAGTGATTGAGCTTGCATTAGGCTGCGCCAAATATAGCTCGAATTGTTACCTACCTCAGCTTCCAATATATCACAGTAGGGATAGTATTTGGCCTTGAGAACCCGTGCCACTAGTGTAGTTGGTTTTTGAAGTAGGTTCCAAACTTGTCTTCCTAATAGGGCAATGTTAAAACCATGTAAATTCCGAAATCCCATCCCTCCCTCATACTTTGTTCACCACAGTTATTCCAGCTCATCCAATGAATCCTTTTTTTCTTCTCTTCATCTGCCCCACCAGAGGCTTGCTATCATGCTCTGAATCTCCTGTACCACACCTTGGGGGATCACAAATACTGACATGGCATAAAGCGTATGTGTTTGTGACACAGCTTTGATAAAAAATACTCTCAAAAGTTCTAGTATATCCCTCAAAGCTTCTCCTTCCTCCTTATTCTCAAAGAAAAATATACTATCATCGGCGAAGAATAAGTGGGTTATCATGGGACTATTGCTACCGTCTTTGATCCCTTTAAGTTTCCCTTCCTCCACTGCCTTTTTTGTAAGAGCAGATAGCCCCTTAGCACATAGGAGAAAGAGGTAAGGGGATATAGGGTCCCCTTGCCTCAATCCTCTAGATGGCTTAATAAGCTCAGTTTGATGGCCATTGATTAAATCCTAATAGGTAACAGTGGACACACATTGCATGATAAATTGAACCCAATCTTCATGAAAACCTAGCTTTAACATAATATCCTCCAAAAAATTCCATTTCATCCTATCATAAGCTTTGGATATGTCCAGTTGGCATTGTGTGAAAGCATTCAAAACCCACCATAATGTTATCTGTGATGTTTCTCCTAGGCACAAAGGCACTCTGTGTCTAGGTAATTACCAGGTCCAAGATTCTCTTAAGCCTATTCGCAAGGACTTTAGATAGTACCTTGCAGAGGGCAATAGGCCTGAATTCCTTAGGGGTGTTTGGCTTCTTTGTCTTGAGTATCATGGCCAGTAGAGTGTGATTCAGAGTGGGCGGGATATGTCCAGTAATTAGGATTCATTGCAGTTTCATGCACACGACATCCCCTACCACTGTCCAGTTTTTTTTGAAAGAACAGGGTATACATTCCATCTGAACCTGGGGCTTTAGTTGGTGCTATCATCTTTAGAGCTTCCCAATTTTCCTCTCTAGTGAATGGTGCTAGGAGTTCTTGATTCATAGGGGGGATCCTTGGTTCGACTGCTTCCAATACGTCTGTCATATTTGGTATTTGTCCAACTTGGTATAGTTGTCGCAACTCTTAACTCCGGGGGTCGGGTCGCGTTTACTTTTTGGGAGTCGTCATCGATCTTAATTGGAGTGGATCGAACACTCATCGGTCAGTTTGGGTCAGAACCGGGGCTTGGTCTGCGATTAACAGACATGGGTTCGGGAGTACGGTTACGTGTGGGGAAGTGAAATCACACCCCACAACGCCCTAAATTGGTACTACTTAAGCTGATAAGTTTTATATTAGTTTGGTGTATTTTAATAATTATACATTTTTTTAATCCTAGTGGACCATTACTATATTGCTATTTCATTATGTATAATTTAGCTAAACGTCCATTGACGTATTAGTTTATTATTAGGTATTTTCGGTTGAATTTCTTCATCTTGGTAGCGGAGAGAGAAAATGGTGCCAGGGTTAGACACCTCCATATCCAAAATCAATCTGGGAAGGAATGCATATGATTCTTCCCAGTCACCAAACATGACGACCATTCACGCCTTCTTGTAGTTAATGATATAATCATAACGACTAGAAATGTCGACGATGATGGTTTTAACCTTCAGGTTGGGCTGCTCCTCAATTAGATGTTTGATAGCCACGACAACGTCCCTTGATTTCAACTGTCGATGGCCTCGGGATGTTATTGATGACGCACATGTGTGTGTTCACCGCACGATATATGACCCAATGGCCGACTCTCTTGCTCTTGATGGCCCACTTTATGGAAATGTGGTATTTGTGTGTTATTTTATATTTTGAATGTGGTATTTGGCTTAAAATGTCTTGTTTGGATGATGAGTTATTTTAAATGTGGTATTTCATATTAAAAAAAGCAAAAGTACCAATATACCCTCATCAATAGCATGCTTTCTACCACTCTGCAATTACAAACAACACACCAGCAACTAATCTTCTTCTACGTCCGATTCTTTCTAGGTACAAGTTCCTGCTTTGCTTCCATGATACCACTTCCTTCGGAACCAGGATATGGTGCACCACTTGGATATTGGAGAACGGTTCTCCATCTCCAATCCAACGGCTCATAAAAATGGTCCATTTAATAAATGGTTTAGATTTGTTAGGGAAAGTGGTAGTGGATTGTGAGGTCAGCATACTGAAAAGGAGCTGACAAAAAGTTGATTTTGGGGCCCCCAGACTGAAAAAGGAGCTGACAGAAAAGAGAGAGTAGGGAATACAAGTTCTTGAAAATGTTGAATATGATTTCTGTTTTGTACAAATATGCTTTGTTGATCAGTAGCAATATGTTTTGTATTTAGTAAGAATATGGTTTTTAATGGATGGTATATTATTTTGAATAAGAGTTGTGAAAATTACGAATATAGAAATCACACATATGCAATATGTTTTCTATTCAATGCAAATATCATTTTTTGTTTAATACGAATATATTTTTCTAATGTGTATATTTGTTTAGTACAAATATTATTTTTGTTCAATACAATATTATTTTTGTTCAACAAGAATATACATATATCACTTGTGCATTTTGTTCAATAAGAAGACCCTAATTATGATCGACAATGGGGAGTATGTATCTGAACAGGATGTAGAAGAAACCACCAATCAAGTCCTTTGGTGGTTGACCACATTCCCCCGCCTTCCGCTTCGAGCTTTGAAGAGTCGAGAACAAATGAGGAGATGCAAGATAATCATATTGAAGAAACTTTTGGCAACTTGCTCTTCATCTTGTGCTTGAGGAAGAGAGGAAAAAGGCGAGAAGAAAATTTGTAGAGGAGGAAGTGAGCATTGAAGAAGGGGAAGATCTTGATTGTCCCCAAGAGGAGGAACAAAGTGAAGAAGAAGGAAGGGAGGTTGAAGATGAAGTTGAAAGAGCAAATAGCATCCAAGATGAGGATGAGGTCGAGGTGGATGAAGCATCCACAATTTACACGTGCTATCAAATGTTTACCCCCGACCTCGATGCACTTTTAAAGAAGGACCCATTTGCGGCTCTTTGCCAAGCCAAGGCCAAACCATCGGTGATCTCTCTTGGTGGATGCGATGGAAGTCAATCAATGATGGACTACCTGGTGTGGGGCAAAGAGAAAGAAGAAGGAAAGAAGAGGAGGTCTCGTGGATGGAGCCTCAAAGCCGACCAAGTTCACGAGCCTCAATCATGAATTCGTCCAATGCTTGTGGCTTGAGGCTTCATCTCACCGACGAGAACCTCAACTTCAAAGAGGTTCTTGGATGGACCGAAGTTTGAGGAGCAACCGTCTAGCTTATGACATAAAAGTAGCGCTTGTTGGGAGGAAACCCACCGTAGGGTTGTGTTTATTTTTATGCTAAGTAATATTAATGTGCAATAACCTGGCCTTGCGCGAGCATGTGTGTGTTTGTTTTTGTCTCATTGGAGCTCTCTCCTCTTCATCTCCGACCCAATTCGGTCCCGACTTTCACTCGCCAAGCTATGCGGCAACATCGTTCTACCCCTTATTTTACACCATTGAGTGCAATGTCGAGCTTAAATGTGTGGGAGGGGGGTAGTTTATTATTCTGCTTGTGTGTGTGATTGAGTGCTTGGAGCCTTAATGTATGCCCAAATTTGAAAAACATTGAGGGCTCCAAGCATTGCATGATCAAAGTGGGCGGTTTGTGGGAGAATCTCGTGTTTGTTGGCTTTGACCTTGGATTGTTTGTTTGTGATCGAATGCATCCTATTATGATGATTGAGAATTGCATTATGATAGTGCAAATGTTTAGTTCTCATGTGTGCAGAAATGAATGGATGTCTTGACTTGATTACTACTTGATTACAATTGCCATGCATTGAATTTTGTGAAATTGGAATAGATGATTGGGTGGCTAGGTAGCCTTGTGAGTTTTGTGCCGGTCGTCTTTTTCATGTGTGATAGATCCCTCTCGCCATGGTGTGAAACATTCACCTTTGTCACTAGTTAGTATGATGGAGGCATAGGATTAGTCCACGCCCAAAAGTTGATTGTCTCGAAACCTCTTATTCCCTAGTCAACCCCTTTGAGCCGTGTTACTTTGAGGGTCATTCTAATGTTTGGAGCTTTGTGCTTGTTGAGCTTAATGGTGATTGATAGAACGAACCCTCATATTTTCTTCGTGTCTAAACCGTTGTGAGTCGTCCTTGTGTCTCGGATCTCTCACTCTTGAACTCCATTGAGGTTCTACATAGGAGGATTTTGCGCAGTTCTTGCTAGGAATGAATAAGTAGTGTTGGAGGAAGTTCTTAATAGAGAGCATTGTTCGTTAAGTGTTAAGTTGACAAATGTTTAACTCTCTATTACCCCCTTGATAAAAAGAGAGAAATGAAAAGAAAATGAAATGGAAAGTAGAAAAAAAAAATGAAATGAAAAAGAGGTAATAAAACGGGATAAATAAAAGTAGAGAGTTGCCACAAAAGTCTAAATATATGCTCTAGAAAGGTTTCTTAGCACTTAAGTCATTGAAACACCTAAGTATTTGTTAATCTCCTCCACTACTATGATTGAGATGTGGATAGCAAGAATAGACCGAGGAAGTGTGCTTGAATGTAGTTCGTGGTTGGTGAAAACATGGAACTTTTTGGCCGTTGCTAGTGGCCTGATTATATGAAAGGTTCTAGTGAAAACATGGAACTTTTGGTTTTAGTTTGAAGATGTAGGACCTCATGCTATGTTTGCCACCACCCAAAAGGCTTTTCCCCATGTCCAAGACAATTGCCATTCATTTGAACCCGTGTCTAAGACCTTCGGACAAGCTAGTGATGAAAACCATCCCGTGAACCCTAGCATTTAGAGGTTGCCGCCATGGTGGAGAGATGATAGGGTTGAGTGTTGATGATTGTGCACATCTTTTGCACCAAAAGGTCATGACCCCACTGGCCGAGATTGAGTGATGCATTCACATTATGCATGGTTATATCTTATCCCGGTGAGGACCTTTGTCGCCCTTTCGTTTGTTCTTTGGACATGAGTTCTATGCATGGTTAGTTGTGGTTTATATCACCCAATTCGCCGCTACTACCTCCACGTTCCCTCTCCAGAGCGGAAAAGCGCGATTTTTTAGAAGTTCGGAGAAAATTCGCGAACTACTTCTCAGGAGAGCGCGATTTGGGATTTTTTGAGCACGATTTCTCTTCAAACCCACAATAATATAGGATTTCATTACCATCTCAGGCCTCATCACCCCCGTCGACGCCACTCCGACCTCGCTTTTCGTCGTTCCATAGGCAGTTCCCGTGCATGCAACAAAGAATTACACAACTCAACTGCGGATCAAAGGTTAATCATCATAAATCAACCAATAATAAAATTGAAATCGGGAATCAAAAGGTTCAGAAAAATTATAGCATAACACGAGGGGGATACAACAACAAGGAAGCCAGAGAAAGGAGCGTCTCCTCGCCGTTAAACGTTGACGTCATTTTAGATGTTTCTTTCTTGGCCTGATATGAGAAAGTAGCTGCCACAGGAGCCTTGCGTCGATCGAATGATTGATATAATGCCTCTTCTCTCCTTCTCGATCGATGTTCTCAAACTAAAGAGAACAAGAAAAGAACGAGATGAGAGAAAGGAGCATGCGACTGGAAGTGTGTAGTCAACCAACGATTGAGAGTAGAAGATGAACATTTCGGTGGCTGGTCATTGTTTGAAATTTGGACTTTGGAAAGAAAAAAGCATACGGTGAGTGGATAAGAAATAAATGGTGGACGTGTTTTCAGAAGAAATATGAGATTAGTAGTTTTTTATTATTTGGAATCCCATGTTTACTGTATTTGCTGAGAAAATACAAAATGTCCAACTTAATTGAGTTATGCTGATTTAGTAAATTTAACAATTTCTTTAATAGATATAGATGTTATCCTGACAATATTTTATTGAATTTTGTCAACAACGTAAGGTGTAATGTAAACAAGATAGATATTTACTACATTTTAAGTATCATAATTAATATATATTTAAAAAATAATATAATATTAACGCTCTCTTCACGCTCTCAATAATAAATCCGTGAAAAATAGATGCTTTCACGCTCTCGCTCCCCCTCCCGCTCTCGCTCCACGAAATGGTTACCTAAGTTGTGGTTGATGAGTAGTCCGGTCAAGATTCGTACTGATTTGTGAACAGGATGAGAACTTTTCGGTTGCACATTCTTAATGCATTCGAATGTCGTTTGTGGTGGATGCCGGTAGTACTTGTAACGGTCCATGTGTTGATGCCCAATAGCCATTGAGATTCATCCATTTCCCCCCTTTAATGTGTCCCCAAGTTATTGTTGTTAGGTTAAAAAATTACCTTGTTTGAGATTGGTTTGCTTGGGGACAAGCAAACGTCCAAGTGTGGAGGTCTGATTCGGGGCTAATTGCACACATTTTATCCCTCATTTCTCGATAGTTTGCATGTGTATTTCATCATTACTCGACCTATTTCACGCTAAATTGTGCTATTTTTTATACATTTCAGGTTCTAGTGTGTGTGGGAAGGTCGAGTACAAGTTTCGGGACGATCAGAGTCGATAAAGCGCCAAAAAATGAAGTAAAGTGATGAATAGTCCAATGTCATGGGCAGAGGTCAAATGTCAAGGTCAACAGACCTTGACAATTGATTAGTGGTCTTGAGAATCCATGGTCACGGGCAGAGGTCCAATGTCATGGTTATAAGACCGTGACAATTGCTCTTTGGTCGTTGCATTGACAAGTTCCAGAGCCATTTTCGTTCTCACTGGACCTCGATGTGTTCACGGTCTGTTGACCGTGGAAATTTGCCTGTGACCGTGATGTCATACCAAAACGCACCACTGACTTGTGTTTTGGTCCAATGTCAAGGTCAGGGCTCCAATGTAACGACCGTGACTTTTGACCGTGAAAAGTGAGTATCGAGCTCTATAAATAGAAGGCTGCTGGGAGTATAGGTGTCAATCGGCCGGATTTGGGTCGGGTTCAATAGAGTTGCGGGTTAGTCGGGTTTCGTGTTCATTGGTTTGCGGGTTTATCAATTCGGGTTCACTCGGGTTTGGGTTCAATCGGGTTGAGGGCAAATCGGGTTGCGGGTTCATCGGATATCGAGTCAGGCGGGTTGCGGGCAACTCGTTGTCAATCAATAATCCTAATTTATATCCATATGCAAAAACTAGACAATTGACAAATATTATAAACAACCGTTTATTGGAGATGGTAATCGAGCTTAATAATAAAGGAATTGAAAC